GGGAGGCAGAGGGACCTGCCTAGGAGGCTGAGCAGCCACAATCTTGTCACCCCTGTGTCCCCTCTTTTCCACCTCCCAGGCCAGCTGCTGAGTGCCAGGACAAGTGGCACATCTCTCTCACTCAAGACTGGTCTTTGAGAGCAGCTCCCAGCCTTGAATAGCTGCTCACATCATGGCTGATGTTGCAGACGTGACTTCCCCAGGCTTGGGGTGATGAGATCAGGCACCAAGAGCAGGGTCAAACCTCCTCTGCTGAATTCACAGTGCTCCTGTGAGGGAGCAGGGTTGTTCAGGGCAGGGTTGTGTCCCACTGAGCACAGCAATGAGGCCACGAGGAAACCCAGCAAATCACTGTGCCATGAGCTGCAAAGCACTGCCAGCTGGGACAGGCACTCACCATCTCAGTGATAGCTGCATTTGAGTGTTTGGCCACCATGAAAATCATCTCCAGGGCTTCTGCAAGGAGTAGAGAAATAGAGGAGAATTAAACACTTGGTGGGGAGCTGGGGAAGAAATCCCCTGGGTCTCCCCTGGACCCGATGGGGAAGCCAGGAGTGTGGTGGCTGCTGCCCTCCCTTGGACACAACCCGAATGGTTCTGAACGCTGCAGAAGCGTCTGAGTCCAGCTGGACTGTGCCCTGTGGTGTGGGCAGGTCCTGGGGGGACAGACTGTCGGCTGGTTTCTCATTCCATCCCAGCATGACTGGGAGCTGCTGTGATCCATACAGATCTGAGAGTTCTCCTGGTCTCTGCAGGTCTCCTTGGCTGATGCTCTGGAGGGACCACCCTTATCCTGAAACACCACCCACCTTCCATGCTGACCTCCACAGACCTTGAAAAGGCAGATTGATCTAGAAAAGGGTCAGACTGAGAGGTTTATCTAAGGGCACGGAGCATCTGGTGAGAGAATCCAGGTATCTTGATGCCCATGTACAACATCAGGGGTTGTTATTTGCCCTACAAACCCACTCCACGGGTCCCCACAGCAGGGAGAGTCAGTTGGAACCCTCACTTTCTGCATCATCCCGGTCTGGGGACACGCTCCAAGTGAAGGTGCTGTTTTATGGAGCTGCCACACAGCCCAAAATGACCTTGTGCTTTCCCTTAACACGATTCTTTCTCTTCCCTTTCCCAAGAGCCACATCGCTGCAAACAACTGGATAGTTTGAAGCTGGTATCTGAGGCTCTGACCCTCCCAGATGTTCAAACAGTTAATTCCCAGTGAAGACCTTTGCCTACATATTTTCAAACTAAAATCCTTTGTCCACAGTGGCAGAAGAAAAAGCACCACACCAGCCAGGCTGAGTGCAAAGGTGCTGAGCGTGGAGGGAACAAGCTCACCACAACCTTCCCCTGAGCCAGGCACAGAAACCTCCAGCAAAGTCACATCCCACTGAGGTTTTTCAGGATTCTGTCCACGACCTGCAGCAGGAGGAAGACACCGGGGCAGATCCAAGTGCTAAAGAAGAACAAATCCCCTAGTCAGCTTCTGCACAGCCTCCAAACCACCTCCACAGCTGCTTTCTTCCTTCCAAAAACCCACACCACGTGGAACCCTAACGCACCCACGGCACCCAGGATGCTCCCTCCTTACCAGTGCTCTTCAAACACAGACACCAGGTCCAACACGCTCTGTTGATTATCGGCCTCTCCTTCCATGGCACCAGCTGGGAGCAGGTCCTGGGTGTAAAGGAGCTGCAGCGGTGGCTGCTTCTCTCCTCCCCTCTGCTTTGAGGTGTTTCTGGGACCCACAATGTTGTTTGGGGAGGAGGATCTGTTGTCCTTCTTACTGCGGCAGGAGAGCTTGTCTCTGAGATGGCCTCAAAAGGAAAAGAAAAGAGGAAGCGTGGCAGGTTGCAAGGAGGAGAAACGCTGAGAAAACACTGGGAATTTGTTGAGCTTGAGGAGATGTTGACCATACGCCTGTCTGCTGTGTCCCACCACACCTTGGAGCCTGGGGTGCCCATCATGGGCTGAGCACGGGTCTGAACAGCCCTGCTGCTGGGAGAGGCTGCGAATGGGCTGGAAGGGACCTGCTGTGAAGGAGGTGTTGTCCCAAATCTGGGTTCTTCACTTGGTGTGCACAGAGCCAATCACCACACTTGAGTTATTTGTCTTCATTGCTCGTCTGCAGAGTAGGGTGTGTAACAACAGCCTCAGAAACATAAAATCACGGAATTGTTTTGGTTGGAAAAGACCTTTGAGATCATCAAGTCCAACCATGAACCCAACACTGACCAGTCCCCGACTAACCCATGTCCCTCAGCACTGTGTCTACACAACTCTTCAATCCCTCCAGGGATGTGGCCTCCACCACTGCCCTGGGCAACCCCTTCCAATGCCTCAGAACCCTTTCAGCAAAGAAATTCTTCCTCACATCCCATCTCAACTGCCCTGGCCACAACTGGAGCCCATTTCCTCTTGTCCTGTCCCTTGGTCCTTGGTTGAACAGACCCACCCCCACCTCTCTCCACCCTCCTTTCAGGTACTTTGGACAGAGCCAGAAGGTCTCCCCTCAGCCTCCTTTTCTCCAGGCTCAACACCCCCAGTTCCCTCATCCCTCACTCAGCACACTTGTGCTCCAGACTCGTCACCAGACTCATTATCGTTACTCTTTTGGACACATTCAAGGTCTTTTATACAAAACCATTAACAAAGAAGCAGCTACGTGAAAACAGTAGATTGGTTGCTTGTACAAAAGATAGTTTGAGCGTGATCCCACTCATTATAATAGGGAGGTCCTACATTTACATATAAATCTCCACCTAGAAGTGTGGATTTTAGTATTATAATTACCTAAGGTTACTATAGGATACACTCTTAGCTTTATTCTGCAATTGTACATATATTTCTATACTGGCAACTGTGGTGGTGTCACTGGGCCAGCAGCCAAACCCAGCTGCTCGCTCAGCCCCCCACCCCAGGGGACAGGGGAGAGAATTGGGGAGCAGGGGTAAGGAGACTCATAGGGGGAGATAAGAACAATAATAACTGAAATAAAAGAAAACTTAAAATAATAACGATCTTAAAATAGTAATTATAATAGTAATAGGAATAAAATACACAAATGAGTGACACCCAGTGCCATTGTCACCACCCGCCCACCAAGCCCGGCCCGTTCCCAGATCACGATCCCGCAGGAGCCACAATCCCGACCCGAAACCGCAATCCCGGGAGAGCCAGAGCCCGAGCCAAAGCCAGAGAGAGCAAGAGAGGAAGAGCCCCTCATGGATCTCCTGCCCATGGGGGACAGGAGATGGAACAGCCCCTTGGCAGAGCCCAATGCCCATGGAGCTGATCCATGGCAATATTCCTCCCCCCTGAGATCTTGCGCTTGCAGATGGACAAACACAAAGTCCTTCAGTGCCAGGGACACAAATGCAACATGGGGATGTTCTCAGCGTTTCTCTCCTGACAAATCCCAGCTGAACCCAACCCCCAGCGCTGCTCCAGCTGCGGGACAGGGACCAGCTCAGTCCCTGATAAAATCCAAGACAACAGCCACGGCACCGTGAGGCAGGAACGTGCAGCCTCCTCATCTCGCAGCTTTCTGGGCTGTCTCTGTTCAGGTTCAGGTGCTTTCCAAGGCTTTGAGAAGCTCTTTCCCCAGTTATCCAGCCCAGACTAACGGCTCAGGCTGGAATATCTTTAATTTTTATCCCTTTTTCCCGACAGCAGCCGGAGGGGACGGAGGGGACCGGGGGGAGCCCAGCTCGTGCTGCCCACCC